GACATCCATTAAAGGCCCATGAGGTTAATTAAATGGACAATTCCAATACGGGTCTATTAGAACCCCCTCTATTAAATTAATATTATAGACATTTAACAGATGTCTTAATTAGGCATTATAGCTAAGAAATGCAAACTAAATTAAAGCTAAAGCCATTGTCCAGAAAGAAAGCTTTTTACCATAATTTATGGCTTTTTGGAGGAATGTTCATGTTTACTCTTCAGAACCTAAGAGATCAGCCATTTGATGATCTTTTCCAGTATCCAGAAAACATGGGCCTCAGAGTCCCAGATCTTAAATCGCAGTCCAGATGTCAGAGCTGGGAGAGACTTTAGACACCATCTGGAGTCCACCGGCTCCAATCTTGCAGCTCAGAGCAACCAGCTGGGGGCTGAGATAAACAGGCAGCTATCTGGTCCCACCCTGGAGTCTGAGTCAGTAGGTTTGAGGTGTAGTCCAGGATCTGGCTGCTTTTAACATGCACCCTACTGATTCTGGTGCAGAGAGTTCCAGGATCCCATTCCAGGAAACCATGATCTGGCCTAGGGCCCCATCTGACATATGACAATACTCAAAAGACGTCAGGGCTGGGTGAACGGATCAGCAGAAGTCCACATCCCACCCCGTGGATTAGAACTTTCCTGGCAGGCAGAAGTCCACATCCCACCCCGTGGACTAGAACTTGCAGAAGTCCAGATCCCACCCCGTGGATTAGAACTTTCCTGGCAGTTCCTGCCATCTCTCCCCTCCCACTAACAAGTGGAGCAGAACCCCAGGCATCTCCTAGGGGTTTGAAACCAGCAGCCACACATCCCCTTCCCACTTGGCCTCTGACCTTTTCCTGAGCCCAGTGGCCACAAGCTTTCCCCTGATTTTCTGGGTCTTCCATGGGGGTTCTGCTGGCTCTTGCCCTGACTTTTAATGTGACCATTCTCTTCACATCCCACCACTGGGGTCAGCCTTCCAACCTGGGTGCATACTTCCTTGCCCAACTTGATAGTGCCTGATGTCATAGGAGGGTGTATGCGCGTGTGTGAGAGAGAGTTTAGTTATTTGCAAAAATGAAGGGCAATCTAGTAACCCCAGGACTCTGGTTCTGAAGGGAACAGCCCTGGACCCAAGTTTCTGAATGAGCATGTCACGGAGTCCAGTGCCCCAGCTCAAGGCCTGAGGAAAGGCTGGTTGAACTTGCTAACAGTTCCAGCATCCTACATGGGGAGTGGGGGTAGGTGGAGAGGGGTAGAGGCCAGATCATGTCTGAGAACAGGGCCAGGCTGTGTGCTGGAGCTTCCCAGGGAGGCACAACCAGCCTGCCTTGACTGGGAAAGCTTCGTGGCTTTTATAGACTGGGCCATGACCTCTGTCCTTCCCCACATTGTGTGGAAACCCTAACCCCTAGGATGACTGTTATTTAGAGACAGGGCTCTTGAAGTAAATAAGGTTAAATGAGGTCATAAGGGTGGGGCCCGAATCCAACAGGGTTAGCATCCTTAGAAGAGGAAGATGCCAGAGGTCTCTCCTCACACACAGAGGAAAGGACGTGAGGACACAGGGAGAAGGTGGCTGTTTCAACCCAGGAAGAAGCCTCACCAGAAACCCACACTGACTGCATTTTGATTTTGGACTTCTAGCCTCCAGCACTGTGAGAGAGTAAATCTGCTATTCACTCCCTGGTGTATTTGGTTACGTGAGTCTGAACAGGTGGATGTGCTGTCTCTGAGCTGCCCACTCGTGCTTTCCCCTCCAGGTGCCGTATCTGCGTCCTCCTCCAGAGGCTCTGGTCTATCCTCTGCAGGCCCTGCTCACTTTTCAGAAAACAGTGGGTTGTAGGTAGTGCGGTGGTAAAGGCTCTGGACTCCCAAGTGGCAAACCACAGTTGGAGCCCTGGACCTGGCGATCCGCCTTCTCACTTTCTGTCTCTCCCTCATTAGAGTGCACGAGCCCTATAGCAAATTTAAAAAATAAATAAAATGATATAATTTTAACAAATAAACACTGGGCTGACACCTCCCAGCCTGCCACCCCCCGCATCCTGCTGCGAGATGTTAACCACTCTCCCCACAGGCCTCTTTGGCGCCTTCTCCAGGCACAGCTTTCCCTGGTGCATGGACGTCTAATTTCGTGTGAAGCAGATTTAGTTCTGTCTCACATGGGCCCCACAGCCAAGGCCTCGGCTCCTGCTCCTTGGGAGGTGGAGATGGGAGAATCAGGATTGCAGAGTACCACACCACCCTCTGTGACCATCTCTGCACCACAGCCCGTGGGGACATGGCCAGCCCTGACCCATACTGCAGGACATCAGGCTATGCACTGTGCAGCAGTCAGTGTGGTTTCAGCAGCAGCCATGCCCTGGCCCTTCCCCTCCTCTGTCTGGGAGGATGGTGTGGTCCCTGAGGCTCAGGACCCTGTACCCCCAGATGGGCCATGAGGATTAACAGCATGTCCTTGAACCAGGAATACACAGCGGCAGCTTCATGGCAGGTGAGTATTCTCACCAAATCTCTTTGGGCAGAGGGAGAGAGGAGGCTACAAATCCAACAGCTACTCACACAGAAACTTGAGTCTGCGCCAAATGAAAAACAGATTTCACATGGCAAGTGGTACCAACAACTTTTCTGGAAAGCAACTGTGTATTTACACAACACTGGATGTCTCTTACATCGCAGAGGGGTGGGTAAGACCAGCACGGTCTTGGAGGCTCTCGCACCTCTGCTGTTCCAAATGTGGCTCTTTCAGACGGCTGGAAGAACAGAAGCCACTTCCCCCTGAAGACAGATTTCCGTTGCAGGAAACCAGGGAATACAAGGGCCACATTATGCACTCTAGGACGACAGTGTCTTTCTCATCCTTGCAGCCACCTGGAGCCTGACTATCAGGTTCAAAACCCAGCTCTTTCCAGTCAGTGTGGTTTCAGCAGCAGCCATGCCCTGGCCCTTCCCCTCCTCTGTCTGGGAGGATGGTGTGGTCCCTGAGGCTCAGGACCCTGTACCCCCAGATGGGCCATGAGGATTAACAGCATGTCCTTGAACCAGGAATACACAGCGGCAGCTTCATGGCAGGTGAGCATTCTTACCAAATCTCTTCGGGCAGAGGGAGAGAGGAGGCTACAAATCCAACAGCTACTCACACAGAAACTTGAGTCTGCGCCAAATGAAAAACAGATTTCACATGGCAAGTGGTACCAACAACTTTTCTGGAAAGCAACTGTGTATTTACACAACACTGGATGTCTCTTACATCGCAGAGGGGTGGGTAAGACCAGCACGGTCTTGGAGGCTCTCGCACCTCTGCTGTTCCAAATGTGGCTCTTTCAGACGGCTGGAAGAACAGAAGCCACTTCCCCCTGAAGACAGATTTCCGTTGCAGGAAACCAGGGAATACAAGGGCCACATTATGCACTCTAGGACGACAGTGTCTTTCTCATCCTTGCAGCCACCTGGAGCCTGACTATCAGGTTAAAAAAAAACCCTCTGTCAGTGAGTCCTTGGGCAAGCGAGCACTTTGGGTTTGGGTCTCCTTGTGATGAAATGAGGATGGCGGCCATCCTGCAGGGCTTAGTCTGGGCCAAGCTCCCGTCAGGGGGGAGCTGGGACTGCGAAGATGCACAAGCAGTGATGACCGCGCTACCTGGGCAGAGCATGGAGTGGCCTCAGAAACACCCAAGGGAGTGGCAGATGTCATATGCAAACGGAAGCAGGGTCAAGACACTGAGCTGGTGGGGCCAGCAGGTGGCAGTGAGCATAATGGTTAAAGCACCGGACTTCCATGGGGCCAACCATGGTTCAAGTCCCAGACCTGGTGGCTTGAAAAATCACGCCGGGCATGTATGTGTATATGCCCCAAATGCAAGGAGAATGGAGAAGAGATTGTAGTGTGGCCGTCCCCGCCCGGGGGTTGATTTCTCACTTTCCTTCTCACTGTGTATTTCTCAATAGCAAGTGCATGTACACTGTCGCAAAAAC